CAAGCACTCCTGTATCTGTCATACAGAAAATTCTGAAACCTCTAATAGTTTTGAACTGAGATTCTTTGAAACATTGAGAAGCTCTAAAAATTACTATCTGAAAGAAGGGATTCCTGTGTTGATTTACTAAATTACGTTAATAGGCAGTAGTATGAATAGTATGCAAATTTGCTAATTACAACTTTTTGACCAGTTACCCAAGAGAGAATTACAGTTATTTTCTGGCACCAATTCTGGTGTCCGTTCTAATGATGCAAGCATGATGATGAGTAACTGGCATTTTAAGAAGGGGTCAGGAGTAGCAGCCTGAAACTACGGGTGATTTAAGTTAGATCTGAGAAATAAATGTCTAAAAATTGAGTCAAAATCAACAGTAGAATTTGTGAGAGAGATGACAGTGAGTATGTGGTATTAATAAATAAGAGTTTCTTCAAATGAGGGTAGAGTTTATCGTCCGTAAATGGACTAAGCTTGAAGGAAGAAGTCGGTTGGACCATAACCCAGATGAGGCCTCAGTTTTCTTGTTCATACCAATTGTGCAGGTTCTCATCGCATTTCATGGTATATTTTGGAAATGACCTGAATAGTTTGATCTACAAATACTTTCTGTTTATCAACTCTTACATTTTATCTTGATTACAGATAAAAGCTGAACTTTAAATAATAAAATGTAAGCCTAACACAAAAAATACTGTAATCTGTGTTGAATTAATATTTGGGGCTGGAAGGCTAAGTTTAAATTGACAAGGAGCTTGAGTTTCCACACAAGTTAGGTTAAGTATTAGTAGAGTTTGTCAAGAGTTTTTTTTTTTTTTTTTTTTTTTTTTTTTTTTTTTTTTTGTAGCTAAACTTTTCTGTCTTTTTCCATGTCCTTGAGGGTATTCAGTTTCAGAAAGTGACCTATGACACAGCTTTCCGAAGCTGAAATAGGCCTGCAGATTGAAAAGCTGTGGGCCACAACCTTCTTTGTGATCTAGGAAGCCCACATAATTTACACGTGGAATCATATTGTCTTCCTTCTTTAAACAGTGCTTCTAGTTAAGTTTGATGGAGTAGAAGAGTATGTGAGATTCGGTCATACAGCAGCTATTCCAAGGTAGAAGTAGTAGCTGGGTGTTTTGAGAGATAACAAATTTCCCATTCAGAACCATTTACGTATCTTTTTTGGCGCCCTGCTTTTTGATAGTCACTATCTATTTTTTCCCAACATATGGCAAGCTAGGAGATTCAGAATAGATGTATTCTTTCTGCCTTTGTTGTGCTACTTCAGCAAAGCCCGGACACTTACTTTTACTGCATATACGTTCTCAAACAGAAATAGACTTTTCATAAATATGTCTCAAAATATGAAACAGAAAATTTGCTCACATAGGCTCAGAAATATTTAAGAAAATTTTTGTATTTTTTTACTGAAGACCAAAGTTTTACAAAAATCGAGTAGTGGCTTGAATGGAATTCACAGGTTTGGTAAGAACTCCCCCTCCTGTATTTTTTTCTAGTCAGCTATTTGAAGTTATCTGGCTGGAACATGAGCATAACACAGATATCTAAAATAATCTAAAACACAATCAGAGCTGCAAAAATTTATTTCTTTGGATCTTTACCTTACACAGTTTAAGAAAGTGTAAGTGTGCAAGTGTAAGAAAGCATGTGTGTAACTGTGTGTTTAACAAAGTAGGTATTGATGGACTATCGGTAAGTTTGCTCATGTAATCGTAATTCCAAAAACTGTGTAATAGTTCTTTAAAGTTATTGTTTATCTAATTTTTCTTTATTCTTACATCTTCCCCAATAAGTACCGTACCCAGATTACATCTGAATGGACTTTCAGTATTCAGAAGTCCAGCACAGAAACATCTGACCTTAGTTTCTCATTATGAGCTATGTATAACACCCACACTTTAAATCTTTCATGCTATGGCAACCGGAGTGTGTTGTCCTACTTATCTATACTTTGGCTAACACACAAGCCTAGGGAATAGTGTTTTGTGGTAGGTGAGAATAAAACACTAGGCAAGAAAACTGGGCTTTTGAGGATTTGCTTGCCCATTTAGCCTGCTGTATTCAGTAGAGTTGCAGCTGGATGTGAGGAACACGGCCAGTGAAAAACATGGTGTAATTTAAAAGACTCCATAACCCTGGGGAATGCCAACAACTGGTGCAATTGGATAGTTCTGTCAGTGCAGCGACATTCGGTTATGAAGAGAGAAAGCAATTACATTTTATTTATAAAATTTTTATTTTTTACAAAAAGCTTATGAATATTTAGAAAATATTTGCAAAGTGTATATGACTTACTGCATTAACTTTTATTTATGGAAGTGCAGTAATTTTTATGTAATATAGTTTTAAAGAAAAATTGCTTTACCTAAAGAACTACTCAGTGCCTCACTTTTATCTTTTTAGGAAAAAAAGTGAATGCTAAAAAATTGGTAGTCAAATATTATTTCTTAAGAGATAAAAAAGTTGAATATTTAAAATAATTTGATGTGCAAAGTATTAGATAAAACATTCACAATATAATCAATAATGCATCCAATGTAATTGAACGTGGCAAAACACAGCCTTTTTAGTGTGATTTTTAAGTAGGCTTTAAGAATTCTGTTAAAGAGAAAAACAAGTGAAAGCAACAGGAACAAATCAGAAGGATATACAACTCCCTTTCCCTTTTCCTCCCTTGTCCTCATTCTCCCTTTCCCATCTTACATACTGCTTAATTACAAAGATCTTGGAAAACTTATTTTGAAGAATGTGTCTAAGTTAAGGTGTAAACAATGTTTTCAATTACCATCTTTCACAGTAAAAATGAAATAAATGTTGTTCTGTTTTGGTAACTAAAAGCTATCTATTCATTAGTTAAGCCAAAAAAAAAACCCAACACCAAAACCCCAAAAAACCAACCCAATCTTAAGATCTCTTTCATATTATTTTTAAGATCTTATTTGTATGCCAAGTATTAGTAAATCTTCTGGCAATATTTAGAAATGTAACATGATTATGTTTCGGTTTAAGCACATAGAAAATGAGTAACAACCCTTGTCACAGGACGACATTTTTATTTTGATAATTTATCCAACTTTTCACAGAAATTTCTATGAGGAAGAACACATATGCCTGAAGCAGATCATCCTTTTCATTTGTTTGTGTTATCTTGTATCTTCCAACTTCAGTGATGACTATAGTAGAAGTCTTTGAGGTAACATTTTTTATTAAGCAGCCCAGATTTGGTTTTTGATTGTCGGCTGAAAGAGGTAGAATTCTTGTAGGAGGGACCTGTCGGGCAGTCTAGCGGAAGGCAATATCCTTTGCAGTTATGCCCTCCTATTTCTCATACTTTATGTATTAATATTTAGGCCACTGTGCACCTGGCATTGCTTCAGTTCCTCTCGGTTATGTCAAATCAAATGCTGCTGTTCTCAGCTACATCATAGTCATGAGAGTCTCATGTCTTCTGCAGTGTTGGCACTTAATTTTCTCATTATTTTCAGGAAGAATCCACACATATCTTCATATCGTTTTCTTGACTTTTTGTTGGTTTTTTCCTTCCTCTGCACCTGTGTTTCTGAATGACTTCTTAAGCAACATGAGGCAGCAATATGCAAATAAATGGTTTGAGAACTCACTCAGAAATACAGACGTAGAAGGTGACATGGTTCTGAGATTCAGTGGAGAAGCATCTTTCTGACTAGTGCATTGTGTGCCGCTCACTTAGGTTCTGATTCTGAGTGCCTGATGAAGCCGTACCTTTGGATTTCTTTATAAATCTACATCCTGAAATCCTGCCTTGAGACTCTGCTCTGGCAAGTCCACGTCCTTTCTGTCAGCAGACCGTTCTGAGTGCAGTAGCTGGCATTTTTAAAGAGGTTTGATGTCAGGAAATACCTTCCATGGTTGTTCCCGAACACTCTCTTGTGTGTGCCGAGGACTCCCCAACTCCGCTGGTCATTCACGTTGCGTTCCAGTATGGTTTGTTTGTTCACACAGAACTCCCAGCTCAGGTTGCTCCTGTATCCGAGGAGCTGAAGGACCACGGATAGTATCTCATTGTTTTCCTTGACAAAAAAGAGAAGTCAAGCAGACCTCCTAGATGTGGTAGAGGTTATTCATCAGTATTTAAAACCACTTCACACATACTTGTTTAGTATAAATGGTGCCAAACAGTCTCGGAGTATCCATCAAGTTGCCTTTTCTGCTCCTGCCTATCAGAGGTATTTCCTACTTAAAGCATTCCAGGTGTGATTCATCTCTCAAACAGCAGGCATCCTATGAGGGGTTCAGTTGTCCCAGGACAATCCATTCATTTTCTTGCAGTTTGACAATAGGAGAACTTCTAAAAGTTGTGTCCTCATCTTTGATAAGGTGTTTTCCAAATGTCTTATCTAGAAGTCCCTGCAGTCCCTAGCTAGGAGATACCTTTCCTGTAAGTCATGTTTTGTTCATTTCTCACTCATGCTTCCATCCAGTTCCTTTTTGCAAGAAGTCCTTGGAGACTTACTTTCTTTCCCTGCTTCCTAAGACCTCCAGGTAGAGCAGATCAGAATAAGTATTATCTACATGGAAGGTACAGGCTGACATCAGGATGCAGCTGTGAGTCTCACAGTGATCCCTCCAGGAGGACCAATGCTTGTCATACGTCTTTGTGAAGTACCAACCTCATCCTGTCCCTGGCATTTAAGGATCTAGGGTCATCACTTTCCCTATTTTCCAGCACTGCATCATGACTGCATCTTTAATTAAGAACACCTAATGTTTTAAGGCTTTGTCTCTTACACTGAATTACAAATTTCGGGTAAGTTCAGCAGCATCAGTTACAGAGATTTTATTTTCCATTTGTGCAACTATTTTCCTGAAATTTACTATAGCTTAATTATCTCTGAGTCTTCTACCCCTCTGCAAAACTTGGCTGAGAATGGGAAGAGGGAGGGCCTGGGACAGCGTGGGGGAAGACAGATACATGGACAATAGTGACATAAGCCCTATTTTCTTTGGAAAGTAGACTGAGAAGTAGGGACACAAGAAGAAGTTGAAGTAGAGGAATGGAAGGTGAGAAGGTAATTAATATAGATATATGTAATATATAAATATGTATGTATTTATAGATAAAATACATATTTATTGTGCTATATAAATAGATATATTAAATATATAATATATAAAATAAAATAAATAATATAATGGAAAGGAGTTTTGTATAAAAAGGAGGGGGAAATAACTTCTTTTTAACCTACATTCCACATATTTTTGCTTTGAAGTAGAAAAAGATATAGACACTGAGAAGGAAGATGTTATTACAGGCGTTGTATATCACTGTTGTCACTTAGGTTGTGGTGAAAAACCTTCTTCAGAAAGGAAGTGATACAGATGTCTTTAAGGTTATTTAGTCTTGCTTTGCTGTCCTCTTACAGTTTGTACGTAAACAAATATTCTCAGCCAAAATACTTTGTTGCTTCTGGGCTTCGTCATGTATTTGCTGGTATACTTTGGATAAGAGTGGTGAAGGTTTCTTACGAATCCAAAGATGGAAATTGCTTCCTTAAGATAAGTCTGATTTGATCTATGGGCTGCTTTGAAGGTTTGGGTGAGGAACTCAGCAGCTTGATGTTTCCGTTGCATACTCCCGGATGTGGAGTATGGGGGAAGCAAGCAGATGCTTTTTATTCAAACAAGACCTTGTCTTGCAAGTTTGAAAATACCTAACACGTTCTAGATTGTGTGCACTCCAGTAGGTATGGTCCACTGTACGTGGTAAAAGGAAGTAGAGTGTCATTACATGATTATGGGCTTTTTTTCAAGGAGAGAAAAACAGAAGCTTAACAGTGCTTTTGAAGTAGAAAACCATAGGTGAATAAGAAGCAGTATATGACTGAAACACCCTGTAGTGTCTTAATGATGTATTAAGCATTAGGCAGAATGGCATGAGACTTTACAAGTTGAGTTATGCCAGGAAAAAACAATTTAAACTTCTGATTAAAAATTAAAAAAAAAAAAAAAAAAAAAAAAAAAAAGAAGGAAATTTAATGGACATTTACAGTTGTCTGTAAAACGTTTGCTATGACCCTGTGTAGAATTTTGTAAGAAGCTTTAATAATAGTATTTGGGAGTGGAAAAAAAAAATCCATGACATTTATACTAATAAACAAGCCTTTAGAACTGTGTCTGTGAACATGGACCCACTTAAAAGACATCTCTATGGAGAGTTTCTCTATTTCATTTTTATAAAATTGACATTTTTCAAACTCTCAGCTTTAAATTGCGAAGTAATGGAAGAAAATAGAATGTGTGGGAGTGAAGGGACTGAAATGCAGCCTACCTTTTAAAAGCTGTGGTCACAGACTTTTTTTGTAACTCTTTTAAAATATAATAGTTTCATTGGAACGCTGTTTCCTGTTAAAATTCTGACAAATCTGTATCTGATCTACTGAACTGTAAGACCTTAAAGGTCTTGAACATTTCTTTCCTTTAAATATCAGTGTCCTCCAAGAGTATTGTGTCAAGGTGGAGGATTTTTCCAATAAACAAGAAGAAAAAAGTCTTTTATGGTCTAGTATAGAAGTAGCTCGTATGTATTTGTAAATTTTTTAGTTGAAGATAGTGTATGTTAGCTTCTTTACCAGTGTGTTACAAGATTAGTTCTTTCAGTACAGTCCTTATAAATCTGTGCAGTTTAGACATTAATGACAAGCAAGATAGGAAGGGTGTAGCAGGTGTTTTGAGAGCACAGTTCTGGGAGGGATTTGGGGGTTTATAAAATATTGCCTCTTCTTCTGAGTTGGTAAGTGACAGAAAATGAGAAAACTCACATATTATCCCTGAACAGCATCTCTTATTGCCACAATAGGAAAGACGATTCTGCAGTAGATGCACTGTTAGTCTCACACCTAGGAGATATCCTGTATTCTTGTCTTTCAGGAAAAAAACACAATGCCATGCAGTCTTTCTGGGGAAAGTAATTATTGGTCTTGGACATTTTCTCATACCAGTATGAAAAATTTACTCAGTACTTATGATCCTCTGCTGTAGCTGCAGAAAATAAATCAAATATTATATACTATTTTGAAATTATTCTAATTATTGTATATTTTCTTGGCACTGTTAGTTAAAAAAAAAGGGTGATAAAACATACAGTTGGTATTTCTAACTAGCCTTTAAGAATCTCTTGTTTATGCATTAGTGATTACTTTAGTCTACTGATTGGTAATTATTTTTCTAATTGCAAAGTATTTTTTTTTAAATCCATACTTCATAAAGCATATCAATTTGTCAATGAGATTGATTGATAGAGTCTTAATTGAGGAAAATGGCAGAAGAGGATTTTATGCTGTGTTTGTGTGTATGTGGCAGTGGCAGAAAAGTCAGTTACTGAATTTTTCTTTTGTAAGACCTTAAACTACTCCTGAAGAAAACAACATTGCACCAGGTTTATCTATTTTTTAACTTCTTAAATATAATGGAACTACAGGCACAAAAAAAAATTATGTGAGAAGAAGCATCTTGAATCTTTCATTTATCTCTACTAAAGAAAGCCAGAAAAGGGAAAAAAAAAAAAAGGAAAAAAAGCACACTTGCATACAAACTGTTGTTGTCACACTTAACGTTTTTTGTAACTGTAAGACTAATAAGAAAGTGGGGAAAGCCACTGACTTTTCACAGGTAGGATGCTTAATGTTTGAGGACTTCTCGTCTAAGAATGGCTTGTTTATACATGTTGCATCTTGGGTGTTGTACACTGTGGGGTTCCAGCTACGGGGTAGCGAGCTGAGAGACAAAGATGGTGTAGGATTCTTTCACTCAAGACCAACTAAGAAAGTGGCCGTTTCTTCTCTCCTAAAGGTTATGAAATCACGTTATGCTTTATTCCTTTCTTCTGACATAACTCCTCAGGAGTTGCCTTGCAACTCCAGATGGCCTGTTCCTCTCTTGAAGTCACTGCCTTTGACCAATAGTGTTTGATTAAGTTTATGTAAATGAGAATTCTTTCCCTGTCTTTGAACATCTCTTACCAGTCCCAAGTAGCAGGAAATCTAAAAAAGCAGTGCTGATTCCTTTGCTTTATATTCTCAACATTTCACTTTGTGTGACTCAAAGAATGAGGGAGAGGCAGTAGGGAGAACTTGTGGATCTTGGTTTTAAATTCTTGCATGTACATATGCCTATAAAACAGGACTAAGCCGCACAGTTTGAAAAACCCACAGATATTAAAAATAATAGCATATGCTATTTCTCAGAAATGTGCGTTTTCGCAGTCCTTTTTCAGGGCTGTAGACAGTATCGGTGATTCAATGGCTGGCATAGCTGCCGTAGATCCGAGCACTGCGGTTCTATTACAGCTTTAGATAGAAGGCACAGCTTTCTGTTTCATCCAGAGTGAGCACTGTGTTTCCTCAGTCCCGCTGTGGGTTGTATCTTTTTCTCACTCTCTCATTTGCCGTCTCTTATAATGGTAGAATTTGGGAGGAAAAAAATAACTGTATTCAATACGGTTACAAATTTAATTATAGAAACTTTAAATCTCTCTTTGAAAGATATAAAGGAAAATGCGCTACCCGTATGGTGAATAATAACTGATTATAAACCTAACATTTAAATATGTTTATGACAACAGCAAATGTGGAAAGTCTGCAGGGCGAACATTACAAGATGTTTTTAATAAAACCCGATTCAAAGTTATTTGTGGCATTTAAAATATTTTGTAAATACAACCCTCATGAAGACTATTTTTCGTGCGCATTAAATCTTTGTTTTTACTGGAATGATACGGTATTCTTTTTGTAAAAGCTGTGTATGCTTCAGCAAAGTATGGGAAATAGGGGAATATGAAATGTAAATTGGAAAATTTACACAGAAAATTTACATAGAAAATTTTCAATACCTGCCTATTAGCAGAACCAAAAATGGGTTATGTTCTTTTATAGACAGAATTTTTAATTTCTTCCTTTTCTTATGCCAGTCTTTATTTTAAACAGTGGTGCAATTTTTATCACAGAAAATTGGGTAGGAACCTTTTATTGTGTCAGAGTAGAGCTCAAGAAATTACAATTTTTGAATGTGTTTCTTGTGTAAGCTCTATGTGGTTTCCGAAAAAAAACTTTAAATATTCAGACGATGTGGAGTCCAGAACAGTAGGAATTTCGTGTTGAATAGTATTATCTCAGGCCATTGCCATCACTGTTGCTGCCTGCTGTGCGATTGCAGATGACATCTTCTGTGCTGTAAAGCGGCTGGGAACAGTTGTGCAACTAAAGATAGATAAAGGAAATCATTGTTAAGATGATGGTTTGAAAGTGTAAGCTGAGTGATGAAAAATCTTGTCAATTCTCTCATCCCCTTTTAGTTTTGCAAGGATGCTAGGGCAATAAAGAGATATCTCCTGTAAGATAAGAAGCAGTATCAGAAAAAAAGCTTCAAGGGTTTGGCTAGTTCTCTGTACATATCGTGCTGCAGTTTGAAATATCCCTGTTTTCAAATCACGGGTACATTGACATCCGCTTTTTAAAGTAGTGCTAATGGTAACAATTTTCTTTTATTGTCCTGGATATGGGTGGAATGAGAGCTCTAGGGGTAAAACTCATATAAAGTAAGTTTTCAAATATTTAGATTGGCTGTAAAGTAACAGTCCAGAAAATTTGATTGCCACGGTGCTTGGATCCCACTTAGACAGGGCATTTTGTGCTGAAGTGTGGAATATTATATGTGGAAAAAATGTTGCTAAATGAATAAATGTATTAGGTAATAGTTTCTAAATATTTTATACGTACAGATTATTGTTTAAATTTGAAATATAAATAGTTATGTAAAAGTTGTTTTGAAATATACTGAAGGTAATATTTGAAGTATTTGGAAATAAGTGTCTCATTACACAAGAATTAAAATAGTACATTGGCATTAACTGGATGAAATTAATAACAGGTCATGTGTTCTTTAACTCTTGAATGACTTTTTAAAGACTGAATCGTGGAGTTGTAAAATACTGAGATTTGGTTTATACAAATCTTCATTTAGAAATCAGTGATTTGAACAAAACTGTTTCAGTCTGACATTTTTTTATCCACTGAAGAGGTTTGTTTACACATGTGCTGATTGTGGTTAACAACAGAAATTGTGATACCACCAAAACATTTTTTCTGAATAAATCAGGAAGCTAAACTACCATAATGAAATTGAAGAGGTTTTTTTGTTTGTTTGTTTGTTTGTTGGGTTTTTTAAAATTATTTTATTCTTCAGCTTTAGACACAAAGTTGGTATTTAATTCTCTACCTTTGTCAAACCATTTACGTTAAAATTATTTAAGGTTCATTTAATCAAGATGTGAATTGGTAATTTTCAGTCTTATGGAATAAATCTGTTGTATTATGCTGGCCTTAACAGGTTAGAAATACTGGGAATTAAGGCCACCTACCCAAGTATACATCATTTACTTAACATGACACCCCATAAATTGTTGGTTCCATTAAATATCTGCCAGTGCTTAAGTAGTAGATTCTGTTTAGGTTTAGATAGTTTCTTTAGATTATTTCATACGCAGTAGTGTGTGTATAAAAGCTTATCTGTGGATTTTATTGAAACCTTGTTGGTTTGTTTTGTCTTTTTTTTTTCTGAAAACGTACTTTGTAATTTGCTCAAGTAGGTGCTATAGTGCTTGAAGACAGATCTCTCTGGATCTGAACTGTATGAAAGGGCATACTGTCTGAGGCTCCCTAGGTTACCTAGGGTTTGCAGAAGTGTGTGCAGGGCATGTGCAAACCCATGAAAGTTTAACGTTTAGTTGGGAGTTTAACAAAATGTGATCAATCATTTTGAGAAACCATGTCTAACTTTACACTTACTGCTTTAGTTCTGCTATGATTTTCTTGGAACACATACAGACTATAATTTTTTTTCAAAGGGCCTAACAGCTCATCTGATTAATTTTCCATTAGACTTAGGCAATTGGTTCAGTGGAAACTCCAGGCAAATTGAAGCTTGAAACTGTATTTAGATATTTTTTTTTTTCCCCCCACTGGGTGTTCTATGTAATTATAATATAAAATTTGCCTGACATTCTCCATGGTTGATGCTGTCCTGTGATATCTGAAACCCACTGAAGTCAACACAAGGATCTTAACTGGCTGAAGTGCCATGGGGAAATAAAGGAGTAACAGTACTGAGTATTTAGCAATAAATAAGTCTGTTAATGTTTACAGAGTTTCTAAAAATGCTAGAATTGATTTGTATGCTATAAACATGACCCAGTAATGTTTTACCCAGCTAATGAAGGACTCATAATTTATATTTAAAAAGAATAGTGTTTATGTCAAAAAGTGAGAGATGTCTGTTATCTGCAAACCTACAGTATGATAGACTATGAATCTATAAATAGTTAATAGTTAGTAAGTATATATTTATATATACAGATGTATATTGTACGTGTGTGAATTCAGCAAAAGTGCTCATACAAAAATCTGTTCAAATTTTAGGTCCACAAACTTCTATGAACTGTATGTCTGAGAACAAATGCTTATTATAGTTAAATAGAAACATTACAAATTAATCTTAGAAATCCCACGGAATTTCCCGTGTATGTTTGTAATGGAAGGTTTTCACAATGAGGGTTTATTGAATTGTTTTATCAGAATGAAAAAAATTCCTATTTGAACTAAATGTCATTTTATATCGGATTTCTATGGGAAGATTGGTTCCTTTTGATTGACATTGAAAAAAGAAAACATGAGAAAGGAAAAAATAAAAAGTGGTCTTTGGTGGTAAACACTACATGAATTGAAAAAGCATCTGTTGTATCAACTTGAATGTTCTATAATGTTTTTACAAATAGGACTGATTGTTTTTGACAAAAATTGATTCTCAACGTTAGGCTTCTTAGAAGTGGAGAATTGTTACAGTGAAGATAAATTGTGTTGACACTGTGGGTTAAAATAAGAGACCTGAAAAAATTTTCTTTTTAAGCTAGGCTGTACATAGGTTAAGTTTCTTGAGTAGCTACCAAAAAGATTGACAGCTATATCACTTTAATAGTGATGAATGGTCCTCCAGAATGTTTTGAAAAGCACTATACCTGTTACAGATAGGGACACGCTGAGCTGCATCTGAAGCAGGTTCTCGAAGACCATTTGTGTCAAAACATACAATATTTCACTGTAATAGTAAACAGAAATAGGATGGAATGATACTCTTTATGCAGCATAATAGCAAGTGTTAAATTGGTCTTCTTTGTAGAAGAACTGGGTTATTACAGTCTAAAATATTTTTAAACTATTTGGAGTTTCAAAACAGAGTTATTCCCCCTTACTATTACAAATAATAAATTTTTTAAAAAAGGATTTATTTCTCCACAAAAATTGGTTTTTTTGCCATCAGAGGAGGACCGTGTCATCCTGTCTCTCAGGGAGCAGCAATGACTGGCTGCTCTTGGAGGGCCAGGAGGCGGATAACCCCAATGGCAGTGGAGGGACCTCGGTGGCTGAGGTGAGTGGGGCAGGCGTGGGGTGATAGTCTAGTCCAGCTCATCAGGCACTTAAAGCCTGTTAGTGTGCTCAGGGCCCTGACACTGGTAGAATTTCTGCTCAATTTGTATTAGTTTATATCTTGATGTAATCATTTTTTACTTCTGAAACATTTGTGTGTTTTGCTTCTCCATATGATAGTCTTGTATGAGAAGAATTCTTAGACTTTCATAAGAAGAAATTACTATTGACCATCTAAACAATATTTGAAAACTGAATAATCAAATGTTGCTTTTTTCCCCATAAACCAAGACTGAAAGGAATAATTACCTTGTTTTGACAAGTGAATTGAAGAAGTATGACATAGAAGTCTTACAGGAATGCATACATGAAAACTAGGCTGTCATGTTTACAAGGTGATTTTTTTCATATGATGAATTTTTCAAACAGTAAGTGGTCTGTAAACTATACTGATATTTTTCTGGGGAACACAAGCTTCTTTTGGCTATCCTGTAAGGAAAAGAGTTAGGAATAAATATAAAATTTTGATTGTGCAGCTATTTTATGAAAACTCTGAATCATTCCAGGCTGTTATTATTTTTGTATTACATGTCTCTATTATACAGTACATTTTACACCAGCCATTGCAAGCGTGGTTGAATAAAAGATGGGCTTGACTTACAGGTATTGAATGGAGTTAGCATCACATTCTTTATAAATCCCGAGGTATTTCTGAAGAGAAAAGGGAATGGATTTGTGTGACCGTGTCCAAATACAAGTAGTATCATACATGTGCAAACAACTCTCTTTTCAGTGTCCCTTTAATCTCAATTCTGTAAAGCACTGTTTAGTGTTTTTGCATTGGTCGCAGAACCATCCTAAGCTGGCCTACTGTTTTTTTACCAGAGCAACTGACAAGTATTTCAGTATTTGAGAGAGAGAGTTTTAACTTCTACGTTTAATTACAGTGTCTTTAATTGCAGTAACATCTGTTAAGATGCTTTGAATCTTATATTCAAAGACTGATCTTCCCTCAGTGTAATATCTGTTGTATTTGGTTTACATCCAGACTTTTTAACCAGAAGGGTGACTTCAGCTTCAGCTACATTCCAAAAACTGAAAGTCTTTCAGTTGTTATTCGCAAGGGGGTATTCCATAGCTTCTGAGAATTTAAGAAAATTATATATCCATAAAATATTATTTAGTATTGTGCTGTTAATTCAGATGTGCATGACAGGAGGCTTTAAAGGACCTTCACATTTGTTCTGAATTTGTTTCGAAAGAGCAAAACCAGAATCAGTAGTGTCTGAAGAAACGCACAGTTCTGCTACTTGTAGGTCTGCACTCGAACACCTATCATCCCGACCTTGCATCTTAATCTGATGTTCTTTTGGAGCATGTGTCCTGTAGACTGTTCACTTAGAAAAACTCTCAGTCTATTTTTCTAGTAGTGCCTCTGGGTAAATTTCCAACCAACACTTTTATTTCTTCATAAAAGAATATTGCTTGTAAGAAAAAACAGTGTATTTATTAATTCATTATATTTTGTTGCCCAAACATTGTGTGCATCTGAGTAGTTATGTTTGTTCCTCATGTTTCTAGTGCAATATGAATAGTATTATTAAATGCTAAATAATGGACATGAAATATACTGAAGAAGTTTCCACTTTTTACATAATTTTTAATCTAACTTCAGTAGCAAGCCATCACTGGTTGTAAAATCAACTTCATTATTTCGCAAAAAAGAGAATACAGAAAAAAACCCCCAGAAAATGGCAAAAAATAACTGCTACCTCTTTGCTTCTGATATAGAGACTTCTGGGATTTAGTGTCTTAGTTTGAGTAGGCCAGTGGATTTGACCTGTGTTTTGGCAAAGTATTTGTTGAGTAAAATGTGTATAGAGCAAGATGACACTTCTTTTCTGGTAGGTTATAGTGTTTTTGTTTGGATTTTTATGTTGTAATTATTTATAGTGATGTGCTTAATTTCCAGAGCGGTTACTCCTTGGACAGAGATTATAAGTGCACCGAAAATAAATTTACTCTGTAATGTATTTATTTTTATAGTTTCCAGTTATAATAGTAAAAAAAAAAAAAAAAAAAAAAAAAAGTCTGCTACTCTGATTAAGGTAAAAGAATTTTTAATTTTATTTTTTTTTTAAAAAAGCAGGATATTATGAAATTTATCTTTGCTTTTCTTTTATAGGTGTCCTTCTCTGTAGCATTCTACTCAGAAGCATGCAGAAGGTTTACTATTCCACACTGATTTTATAATTCACTACATAAATGCTTTCCTTATTGATTTAAGTATTTCCAAGGAACAAAATGTTGTGTTTTGGTAGTTCTGGTCTGAAGTTTTTTCATTATTTAACTGCTTTTCTGTGTCTAATTTACAGATTCTGGAAATGGAATGGGGAGGAGAGTATTCTCTTGATTCTTCCAATTTAGACTGTTTGTTGAATGTCGTTCCTGGGGAATTGGAGTTCCAACAAATCCTTAGTGATCTTGATGAAGAAATAAAGAAGAATTCTTCTAGGTAAAGAGTATTTTATTTGTATCCAAAATATTAATGAAAGTCATTACATTTAGGAAGAAATAATGACTTTTTTATTCTTCCTTTTCTAGTTGTAGGTTAAAATTCTGATAATTATTTCAGTAGTAATTTTGCCTTAACCACTTGAGCATTTAACAAATTTTTAATGCCATATAATTTTTGTGCTACAGTCTTTCTCTGTATGGTATTTTTAACAGTTGAATCATCTTAATCTTAGGAATTATTGCAGTAGGTGTGATAGTGGAGGAAGAAAATGTGTATTCCCATGACAGTTGTATTTCCTACAGCTATGAGATAGAATTTTTATTCACTAAAAGAGCTACAGAATTTTACAAAAACGCAAAATTTTAACTATGTTCTTTAAGCATTTTTGATGGAGGTAGAAAAAGCAAGTAAGTTAATATATGTAATCTTTTTTATATAAGCCATTATTTTACCTATTTCAGTTAAAACTGTTATGCTGCAGTAGATTATTTTCTAACCAGAATTTGTTTTGTAATATATTTCACTGTCCACTTCTTTGTAACATACTGGTTTCCAAAAAATCAATGCTGTAGAAACAGTGGAGTACTGACAGACTTCTTTGTTGATGCAGATTTTCTGCATGACTACAAAAAAATCGGCTCTAGCTTTTGTGCCTTATTTGAAAAGTGGTGGCAGTGTTCCGTGGCTGAACTCTTTAGTACCTTTAAAATACTCTGCTCGGCGAAGGATGCTCGTAAGCATCTTTCACCGATCTCCCCTTAAAAAATTTGGTATTAAATTTTGAAAATGCTTGCCTTTGGATAACACTGCATGTAATAGATTTGTATGATTTCCAAGAATGCCCTTCATGACATCTGTTTTAAGATTGTGTAGTTTTAATGAAACCTGTATTTTTGAGAGGTTTTTCCTGCCAAAGAGCTTCTTGAAGAATGCGGATGAACCATTGCTGTGTCTCACTGAAAACTGATTGAGGTCATCTCTGAATTATTGTTACACTGCTTATGGCCAAGCTGAGAGATTTTTTCAGCCTTTTTATTTATATTACTCTTATCTCACGTTTTGAACATTTTATTTTTAAAACCTAGTGTTTACAGATGTAGTTGCAACAGTAATAATCCTAGGGTAGAAATGATAGCGAGGATCTTAGAAATATGCTGTTGCGGACCCCTGCACAGTGCAGTTTCATAGCACAATTTCCCAGCTGTTGACATCAGTGAAATGTAGGTACTTACTTAGAGTTTACTTGATGTCATAACACAGTTACAGGTACTGAAGTTTTGAGTTGCTATGGTCTTGTATATCTGGGAAAAAACAGCATCAGCATTTTTGGCAGATGTGTTGTCACCTCCTCAGCTACCAAATCAAAGTGGTTTTGTCATCATTATGCAGAGGCAGCCCGAGAGTTGGAAAGGTTATTATCAAGATCAGTCTTTGGAATGCATGCTTCGCTACTATCTTTATTTTTAACGTGTGTGAAATGTATGCTGCTGGTTGAGAAATCTTTTGGCTGTGTGAGAGCAGGCCAGCTGTTTGCTCCTTTTAATGGTATTTTATATCAGTTAACGTTTTGTGTTACGTTTTCCATTAACATCATCACAGTGGAACTGTTTGTCATATTTAAGAAAGCTGATTGTCCCTGTCTCAGGTGCATAGTCCAACAAATCAGAAGGGCCTTTCACTATGAGTTTTGTAAGATCCAAACAGTATTTTATCCAAGGAGAGGAGGAAATTGTTTTAGGGTGTGGTACACAGCAACGCATGTCAGGAAAAGCTTTGTATTTCTGCTGAATTGACACTTAAGCTAGTTTTCTAAACTAATTTTCACAAGGAAAATCAGAAAGTAGCCCTGTAGTTACCAGGTGATATTTTGCTCCTGTAATATGTCAGTTTCAGAAATGGAGAGGAGTTTAAAAGAAGATGGACAGCAGCTGATGTGACTTTTAAATTAAAAAGAGTCCTTTTATTGCTAATATATTAGAGGTAGCATGGAATGAAATCATTTTCAAGTTACCATTGATCTTTGTAAGTGGTATGATAAGAGCAGCTCTATGCGCTATGGTGATACAATTGGAATACAATCCATTTTTCATCAGATAGATTTATGATTTTATTATACCACAGAGAATAAACATAATAGTATACAGCATATATATATTTTTAAAAATAAAACATTGTGTAAAAAATTATGATCCAAAAGTGTGTAAATCACTTGAATGCTCATTTATTGCCTTACAACTGAATAGCTTTTATAAAATTGTGTGACACGACAAATCAGATATGCTTTCCAGCACTTGAATTACCTTCAGTATTTTTGTATTGTACCAATTCTATTTGGTGCTATAACTAAAAAAAAAAAAAAAAAAAAAAAAAAAAAAAAAAAAAGAAAAAAAGAAAGGCCATCTGTGCGTGTTTTATTGTTTTATTTGTAAGTTTTAAGGGAGTAAGTGGTTCATTCATTCACTATTATATAACAGAGCTCTTATTACACTGGAACGTTACCTTTATTTTTACAGCAGTTTATAGAAGCAGGTGAATATGAACTCTCAGAACTATTGTCTTTGCTGGCCAGTTTCTTGGGCAGTAATAGTCTCAGGTTATTTTAAAGCATGAAGTTGTATTCATAATTTCATCAGGATGGCCATTTGTCTTTCCCCTCATAATTCATTTTAACTTTTACTATTTATCAAAACTGAGTCTTGGGATATTTTTTTTTTCCTAATTGGAGGATTAAGAATTAGTAAGAGTTAATTTTTGAACAATGCACAGAGCTGAATGTTCAGCTGGTATTTAGTACTTCTAAGCAGAAAATAAGGTACAGAGCTTTAAACCAAGCTTATAGTGCATAAGTTGAAAGTGATTGTAAGCATGAAATCTCTTCAGCAGTTGATTATTTTTGTGAATTCAGTTCTTTCTTTAGTGAGTGATTGGGTCGCTTTTAGTGATGGTAAAGTGATGGTGGATTCTGTGAGGCTGTAGGACAGTGTGAGGTATTCTGGGTCTTCAGCAGATCAACTACTCAGAATTCGATAACATTATTTACTAATAATTGTATCTCCACAATACACTGGAGACTATATCTTTGTGAGGCTTTTTGCAAAGGCTTAATTTGACTTCAATCTGATAAACTTCAACTTGACCCTCTGTCTAATTAACAGTAATTCAGTCATCTGGGACTTTGATGAAGGTCTTTTTTGAAGGGCTCCGGTGATGTCAATACTAATAAGTGCTTATAGAGTTACATCTTGTCCCATAACTCTTCACTATAAATTGTAATCAGATCCTTAACTTGTGAGTAATGGGACTATCTGGGAAGTACCTCAATAAGGATGTTAGTATGACATTTTCCAGTTGTTGATCACAACTTTGCTGATTTGCGTAGAAATGCTTCCAGCTATCAGTACCTCACATCAAAGGGATGGAGGAGTTTCAAACAGGATATTAAGTGCTGCTGTCTCATTCCGTTTTCCTGTGTCGGAACTGGAGTGTGCAAGGGCTCCTGTGTTTTTAAACTTGAGATGTGCTGAATGAGTTATCATTCTCTTATTTTGAAGAAAACCTTGTCTTACTCCTCTCTGGAATTTTCAGAAATCAGCAACACCTCACTTTCCTGTTATTCAGGAGAATTACCAAAATCTTGGCGTCTCCATCCAAAATCCCAGTACTGGTTGAGTATTTGAGAGGCTTTCAAGCTAGGGATAATAACGGAGGAATACAATCAATAATTTTATCGATTTTACTTGGACCTAATACTCACCACAGCTCTCAAAAAGAATTTGACTCTTCTGTGTGAATATAACCTGCTTGCTGTACAAATGCATACTTTAGTATTTACTTGAGAATTTAGTATCTATAGAGATGTTAAAACAATATTACTGAAATCTTTGTAAAAATAGTATCTGTCTACTCACCGCCGTGGACTAGTTACTTAGCAGTAATTAATTAAACTGAGAAAGGAATATAATTTTATTCCTATTCAGCCTGCATTGCCTTTGTGCACAGTCACCGAGTTTGGAATAGTTCTCATCACGTTGCTAGCTGGACGTCACATGTTTTCTCAGAGATTGGCTGTTTTAGTAGATACACAGTTCCTTTACTCCAATATGTGGTGACTAGAATTGTGTCAGTATCTTAGGTAGGTAGTTAGCTGTCATATCCATCTACAGAAGATGTAATCAGATGTTTGACCGCACTGCAAAATATTCAAATTAATTTCATATAAGAATACACGCAACAATTTTTATTTTTTTTTAGCTGTCATTTATAAGTATCATGTTTTAGTCAATGGAGTTGAAAGACTCCTATGTCTCACTGCCAGTCTTCTGAAATAGCATCAAGGCAAAGCTTTCATCCTATGCACTGAAATATCTCAAGTCTTTAAAACACATTGGAAATTAAGGGTAGGCAGTGGTTCGGTTAGAACTGGTGGTTCTCATATGCTCAACCTATTGGGTAGGTTTCTCTTGCTGAGGTGTAGCAAAGTCATCACCATTCTATTCCTTTCTGGTTTCGGTGGTACAGTTACTTTACAGTTTCAGTGGTTATGTTTTGTAATTAGCTAAACTGAAGATATGAAGAAGCTCGCAAAGTCCTTCAAGTGGGTTCTGCATCTTTGTTTTACATCTTAAAGTCCAAAATCACAATAAGAAGAATTTGAGGAAGTTAAATTTCTTCAGGGCTTTTAGCTTTACAATAAGCTCATAACTTTCAGACTCATTTTTTAAAGAATTGCTGGTTTAAAAAACAAATATCAAGACATATTTGTCTTAACATTATTTTTCTAAAGAGGTAAAGTTTTTGTAGTCTGTTGCTGCTTTTTTGTGTTGCTGCTTACAACATAATGTTTAACTTAGTTCTTACTGGTCTTATTTTCAGTAGAGCTTAGATACAAAACATGAATAAGAGAATGATACAGTCAAACTATGAAAAAACAATGTTAACACACAAAAATAGGTGATAAACCCCCTTTCATTATTAGCAGCAGCACCTTTGTTTTCTGA